CCCCAAAACCCCAAAACCCCAAAACCCCTGTTAAAATTTAAAATGATAGAATCTTTAGAACCAATACTAAGAATGCTAATTATCCATCAGAAATATCCAAGAAGGAATTTGGATGCGAGCATTTTGAAGAAAGGAAAGATATAGCATGTTAAATGCCAATCTAGACTTTAAAACTTTTAACACTTTTAAATCTTTAAAAACAGAGCTTCGATCTTTCACTCTCCTATTGCCTCTTTATTAAACTATACTAAAATATTCAAGTTATATTTTCCACCAAAATAGCCTAAAGGTCAAATTGCAAAATTTCCCTAAAAACTCTACCCCTCACATTTTCCGAATTTTCCCTAAAAATAATCTAAAAACACTATTCCCATTCATCCAAACCCCCAAACCCCCAAAACCTCCATCCCACATCCATAACCCCACCACAAACCTCCCAAAAACCCATAACCACAAAAACTATACCTAAAAATTACTTAAAACCCTCTAAAACCCCCCTATCCTCCCTCTAAACACCCCCTTATCCACTTTTGTCCTCATCCATCCCCTCCAGCTCCCTCAGTAACCCACTTCTCCCTTCCTTCGGTATTCCTTCCTCTTCCTGTCCCTCTACTTCTTCCTCGTTCTTCCTCAGCCTAGTATCCTTCTGCACTATGAACACCTTCTCCTTCTGCACAGCTGCAGCTGTGGAGGTGGAGGTGGCTGTAGGTGTAGTAGGCAGGCTAGAGGAGATGTGTAGAGGCTTGGTCACTTCGGAGCGGGAGAGAGGAGGAGGAGAGATTATGAGGGCGATTTCTTCGGAAGCGGGGTGAGAGGTGAGATCGATTTTTTCTTGGAGTTTGTTAGGTGGCATTTCGGTGGTGTTGCCGATCTGGGGGTAGGTGGTTTTGAGAAGTCCTCGCAGAGCGAGGACTTGGGCGTCGGGGTTTTGGGGTTTGGGTGCGTGAGGCTCGGGGGTGGAGGGATGGGGTTGGTCTTCTTTGGAGGTGGGGGTTTTGGGGCGTTCTGGGGCTTGGACGATGGGGTCTTTGGTGTCTATTGATTCTTTCTTGCCTGGAGCCTCTGGTTTGTCTGTTGGTTCTGGTTTGTCGTCTTTTGGATTGGAGTTAAAAGATATCAATATTGCCTTGAAAATTATTAATAAATCTATTGGTTTGTTTACAAGCGTAGATTCTAAATTTTTTCGTTCCCTATCTTTTAGGTTTCCAATAAAGTTCAAGATCCATTTAGAAGGCAAAGGTTTAGTTTCATTGATAACGCTTGGAGGATATGTAAGAGCACATTTAACTTCCAATACCAACAACTGAATGATTCCTTCCAACTGTCTTTTTATCCCTGATTCTGATTTATTAGTCTTAGACTTTACGTTGTAAATCCAGTCCGAAAAGTTTCCATCAAGTCTTTCATCAGTAAGAATCCTCATTTCTGACATCGACCAAGCACCTTTGAGGCTGATTTTTTGACATTTCTTGATAAACTCTTGAGCAGTGTAAGAAGAGGAAAATAACGATTCTTCTCTCAAACTTCTTTCCTTATCTTTCTCTTTCCTTCTTCTACGGCTCTCACTTGGTGGCTTTCTGACTTCTTTCTCTTTCACAATCTGAACATCGCTGCTATAATCACTGAAGGATCTTGTCTCAGCTTGCTGGAGGTAATTCTGATGATACATATTTGATTCATATTTCTGGGGAGGAGTAAATCAGTTACTCTGTATCTGACTCCCACTCGCCTGCGAGTTAGTATAAACCATCCCATTGTTTCTCCGAAATAAAGCATTCTCACAGATAGTCTTGATTGCTTGAATCCTTTGTGCAACAGTTTCTTTTTGCTTTCCTTTTAAATAAGTGATAGAAGGAGGTGAAAGCAATCAGTTCTCAAAAGCTTTACTAAATATCCATTCTAGAAGAGAGGAATCGTCAGTTATACTCCATTGCTGAGTCTGTTGATGGTTTTGAGGTACACTAGGAGCCTGCACTTGTTGGTTCTGTTGATGTGCTTGCTGCCTTTGCCATTCCATAACCCATTTCTTTCACTGAGTTGAACTTTTTGTCTTGACATAATTTGATATTCGGCTAAAATCGCTTGCTCCGAACATACTTAATGCGTCTAACAAGCGATTAATTTCTTCATCTTTCCAAGGTCCTGTGGATATCTCCATAACTTATTTACATAAGAGGGACATAATCCTTCAGTTCTCTATCTGAAGGAAGAGTTTGTAATACTTCAGTCTCATCCCTTGGTTGATAGCTGTAGCCTTTAAACCTGTCATTTTCAGTCACTGGCCTCTTAGAGAACTTCCCAGATATACAGCGTAGGACTTCTAGAAAGTGTGCCTTGATCGACCTTGGAAACCTTGATGGGAATAATGATGAAATCTTTGTCCAATTATGGCCTAATATTTTATGAGCCTTGAACAAAATCTGATTTTCTTGAATAGTCCATTTCGGTTCAACGATCTGGTCGTGAGAAGAGTTAACAATTCTTGATGCATCAGGTACCTTCTGCTTTTTAGTCAGATTAATTTTAGAGCTTATTTTATTGTTGCCTGCTTTATCAGATGCTCTTTTGAGTTGCGTCTTCTGTTCCATATCCAAGACAGAGTTTAAGCAGTCAAGATCAAACAGCTGCTTATAGTCTTTCATACTCTTAGTATTGACGTTGTCAAGCAACCTGTCAAAGTTATATCTGTCATTACAATCCTCTAACTCCTTCATAAATCATTTCTTAGCTCTTTTATATCCTAATATTTTCCCTGATGCCTGGAGATACTTGTATCTCAACTCTCACTGCTTTTGGCTTCTTCAGGTGATTTTTTGAGTTGCTTTATCCCAACAATTTTCTCCATTATTTTCAACCCATTCAACAAGATTGCTATCTTCTTGTGCTGAGAAGGCTCAGTCAATCGGGCCTAACCCCAATAACCCCCATCTGAGTTTTCAGAACTGAGGAAAAGCAGAGGTTGTAGACCCCTCTATAGTCTCCCAGTCATACTTTCCTTTTGAAATGATTTGGTCACATAGAGATCTGTCTTTCCATTCTTCCCAGTCTCAAACATTGTTGTTTAAAACAATCTTTGAGGAGTTCAATAGAGAATTAAACTTTTCACAGCTAGACTCGTATTTCTTCCTTGTTTCAGGGTCCATATTCTCCTTTTCGCTCTCATCGATAACAAACTGCTGCCTCGGTATAGAATGAAGTGGAGGCCTTCCTCTCCTTGGAGCTGGAGGCTGGCTAATACTCATCCTCGGAAACTTAGATCTCTCAAGATCTGAGATTTGTTTGAAGTAAATCGGGTTACTTCAAATATACTGGTACCGAAACTTGCATTGAGCTGCTGTCTTGGTACGAATGATTTGAGAAGCTTTGCTCCAACTTTCAGTACCTAGCTCCTTCACTATCTGAATGAGACTTCAATCCTCATTAGACTGCCATACTTCAGTAAACATTTATCTAAATTTCTCTGAATTAGCAGATTTATTCTGAATTCCTAATTAATCGATATAGCTTTAAGTAAATCTAAAGTATTTTCAATTTAACTCAGAAGTGTTAAAACCAGCATTTTTACCAGAAATTGTAGGTAGTGCAATACACAATGAATTTAGAAGTCTAGTCTGCAATCTTAAGGTCATTAACTGAATCTAGTAACAATATTGTGAAACGAGAATTTTCACACTAATAAAATCATAAAACACTATTTTGGTGAATTATTAAAATTCTTTGATCTACATAAGCCTTACTCCTTATGATAGATAAAATGAACATAGATCCAATCAAAGGCATTCAAAGCATGAACCAGATTCCTGGTCTTAATGATATCAAAAAGGGACTTCCTTTGTTAGAAGACTTAGTATCCAAAACCTCCAATGCTACCAACTCAAGCCTCACCTACATGAACCACATATCCAACCCAAATCTCTCCTCAATACCTAATGAGGAAGAGCAGGAAAATATGAAAGAAATGCTAAGAAATTTAGCAGAGTTGAAAAATAAAGCACCCAATTTTGGCAAGAAGCAGGGCGAGAGAAAGCAGAAAGTTAATTGGACTAGTATCGAAGATCACAAACTCATAGCTATCTATTCTCTCTTCCCAGATGATTGGAAAGCAATAGAGGTATTCTTCCCTCAAAGAGATTCAATCTCAGTCAAATCAAGATGGAAGAGAAAGTTTGAAGAAGACTTCCAAAAGATTCTGCAGGATCCCAACAGAGACAACATCCTCCAAAGACTTCAAGACCAAGGAAAAGATGTCTTAGCAGATAATCCTACTCTGGCTTTACTTGCTCATGAAAAATCCAAGAAAAAATCTACCACAAAAGAGTCTAAAGATTCAGACACAGCAAGCGCTTCAACAAGCAAAAAGCCTAACAAGAGAAAGCTCAAAGAACAGATAAAGCAAGAAGAAGCTAACATGAGCATCATGAAAGCACAGCTTCAGACATTAAGACTCCAACAAGAGAACCTAAATCTTCAGATAGAATCATCTGAAAGGACTTTAGCTGAGTTAAACTATGAATTAGACCAGCCTAAATCAGACAATTCTGATCATAACAGACAAATCTCATTGATCCCTCAGGTAGTTTCAGACAAGCCAAAGCCAACGATCGACATCACTCAGATGATCCAAGCTCTTCCTCTGATAGAGTCCCTTGGAAAAGGAAATGAAGAAAGGAAAGTCACCTTTAACAAACAAGTAGAAGTGCTTAAAGAAAAGAAACCTAGGAAAAAGAGAGGTCCGTACAAAAAGAAGTCCACAAAGAAAGCCCCTGCTGTATTATTTAACTCTAAACCTGCTCAGATCCAGCAAGTAGTTCCTGAGGGTACTTCTCAGGATCAGCCTAGACACGATTCAGCACCAAACCAGCATATTAACCAAGTGTTTCAGTCAATCCCAGTACAACAGGAAGCCACTGCTGTAGCTCTAGAGACCTAAAAATCTTAATTTTCCAATTTTGATCTGCAAAATCTAAAATTTTCAATATTTTCTGTTTCAAATTCTTTGAATTTTCCAGGGGTTTTGGGGTTTTGGGGTTTTGGGG